GAAAAGATTGCTACTCAGCGAGCAAAATACGTAGCTGAACAGAAATTTTTCTTCGCTTGTCTCAATGGCAATCATAGTTTCCGGTAATGTGCTAGAGCAAAAAAGTGCCCGAAGCCAGAGTGTGATAGCACACATAATGTCTTGCTCCATGGAGCCGAAAGAATATTTCCTCGGAAGGAAAATTCAAATGTCTCGAATAAGGCTGGAACAAACAAATCCAAGGAGAAAACAAACACTTCCACCCATGCCGCTGTTAGTGATGTACATGACATTGAATCTTCTAAAGGGTTGTTGCCAATTGCAACGCTCGGTGTATCCTCGGATGTAACCAGTCTCCTGACGTTGGTTCTTTGTGATAGTGCATCGACTCACTCCTGGGTGTCTTCGTCACTCGTAAACCGTCTCGGCTTAGTAGGGGAGCCCGTTAACTTGTCAATTAGTGGTTTCAGTTCAACCACCATTGTTGAGACTCAGAGGGTCAAGGTTACAGTTTCCTCCGAGCCGAATAATAGTGATTTCGTATTTTCTCTCTGTGCATATGTTAAAGACAATATTCGGATTGGTTCCGAATTAATCAATATTGCTGATTTGCAGAATAAATATCCGCAATTAGCACCTATTAAACCCACTCAATATACGTATAAAGACGTTGAAGTTATTATCGGACAAGACTACTACCACGCCGTTAGATCCATTGAGTTCATCTTGGGAGATGATAAAAACTCACCGTGTCCCGTTCGCCTACCGATAGGTTGGGTCTTAAGTGGTCCGTTGCCGCCGTCCGGTAATTCTACTTCTTCGTGTTTCAAGTGTGTTGTTGAAGATTCTTCTCCGACCGACCAGATAAAATCCTGGTACGAGTTGGAATCGTATGGTGCTTTCAAACAAGTCGATGCCCGTTCCGCCGCGGATAAACATGCTTTATCCATCCTAAATTCTGAAACTGTTCACAATGGCAAAAGATACATTGTGCCTATGCTTTGGATTGGTAGTAATGTCAGTCTACCAAACAATTATTACTCGTCACTCGCCCAATTTAAATCATTGGAGAGAAAGTTAAGTAAAGACCCTGAGCTGCGCGAAAATACGTAGAAACAATTAGAGAGGACATTAGGAAAGGCTATGTCGTTACCGTCGAACCGCATGATCCACGTAAGCGTTCCGATCGCGAGTGGTATCTTCCGCACCATCCCGTCGTAAATCCGAATAACCCGTGTAAGGTGCGCCGAGTCCTTAATGGGGCTTCTAGGTTTCACGGCACATCCTTAAATAAGTCCTTATTGGTGGGTCCTGACCTACTCCAAAATTGAATTTTTGTGCTTTTGCGATTCCGTCAACACAAGTACGCCGTCTCCGCGGATATAGAGGGTATGCTCCTCCAGGTAGGAGTCCTTGCCGGCGATCAAATTTCGCTCCGTTTTTTTGTGGCGGGAGGATACCACTTCCGATGTGGTAGTTCATCAGTACACTCGCCATATATTCGGCGCACGGGATTCGCCTACGTGCGCCAATTTCGCGTTGCGAAAAACAGCAACTGATAATATGTCCACATACCCTGAGGCCGCCTCAGTCGTAAATGAAAAATTTTACATGGACGATTACTTGGATTCATTCGAGAACGTTACCCAAGCAATTAAAACTAGTCGCAATTTGGTTTCCTTACTAAAATTAGGAGGATTTAATTTGACTAAATTTGTCAGTAATGCTGATGAAATCACTTCAGCAATGAACCCCGAGGAATCCGAAACCTCATCTTCACCCATCAAGGAAATATGTAACAGTGCCGAACAATCATCACACGTCTTAGGTCTTAAGTGGGACCATGTAAAAGACACATTGGTTGTTAGCAGAGGCGTGGATTGTCCTCTCGATAAAGCAATAACTCAACGAACCGTCTTGAGTTTCGTCTCTTCTGTGTTTGACCCTGTTGGGTTAGTAGCTCCATACACAGTTAGGGCCCGTCTTTTACTTAAAGATATTTGGAAAATCAGTGGTCAAAGTTGGGACGACGAATTGCCAGAAGACATAAAAGATAAGTTTCTCGAGTGGCACTCCGGTCTCCCTCTCTTAGGGCAATTGACTATTCCCCGTTGTTACTTCACGGAGCCTGTGGATCAAATTGAGCTCCACATGTTCGGTGATAGCTCGCAGGAAGTTTTCTGTGCGGTTGGATTTTTGCGTGCGCGACTCTCGAGCTTGCACAAAACTCAAATATCCTTCAGCTTTGGTAAAGCTCGCGTTGGGCCCATGAAAGCGCTATCTATACCTAAGCTAGAGTTTCAAGCTGCTCTGCTCGCCACACGACTAAGAGATGATATACTGGCCACCCTTACCGTCTCTGTTAATCATGTCTACACGTGGACAGATAGTACAACAGTTTTGCAGTGGCTAAACTCCACTAAAAAATTACCTGTATTCGTCGCTAATCGTGTCGGCAAAATTCTCGAATCGACCACTATTGATGAGTGGCACCATGTTCTGAGCGGCGATAATCCAGCTGATACCTGTACGCGGGGGATTTCTTTGGAAGCCCTCAGGATAGCAGCTGGGTTATTGGTCCGAGCATTCTCAGGACTACTGATTGGCTGTTTATACCCGACGAACGTGTAATCAATAAAATTCGTTTGAAGGGTCCTTCTTGTGATGTTGATAATTGCTTGGAGACATCATCTTCCTTCGTCACCGATGTCACATCCATCAAACATCCCGAACACGGGTTCAATTGGGAAAGATTCAGTTCCTTTACGAGATATAAGCGAGCAGTCGCTTTTATGTTGAGGATGCTGCCTTCACATAAGTATTTTCGTAGTAAGGACTTACGAATCACCGACCCCACTGAACTTGATATGGCAGAAAACAAACTGATTCATCTTGCTCAGATGGAATCCTTCCCCGTTGAATTGAAAACGCTCACCGCTGGCAAACCTATTAAGAATAGTAGTAAAATTGCCACATACTCGCCATTTATCGGTCCCGCTGGTATCATTCGTTCCACCGGACGGATTGTGCGCTTAGTGAATACCGAGTTTGATACTAAGCACCCAATAATACTCGACGCGCGACATACCCTAGTTCGTTTGTTGGCCCGCAGCTTCCACCATAAGCATTTTCATCAAGGATTAGATTACATGCGCTCCGTTTTAAATATGAAATATGCAAAACTTGGGTTGCGTCGACTACTTCGGTCTATCGAAAATCAATGTGTGACATACCGTAAACGCAAAGCAAGCACCATCCAGCCAATTATGTCCGATTTACCTGTCGAACGTCTCGGATACAAACAACCACCCTTCAATCATACGGGTGTGGATTACTTTGGACCGCTTTACGTTCCGGTTCGCAGAAGCACGGAAAAAAGATGGGGATTTCTTTATACTTGCCTCACCACCAGGGCTGTACAACTTGAGATTGTACCATCTTTAGACACCAGTTCGTGTGTCATGGGCATTGAACGATTCGTTGCGCGCCGTGGTACGCCAAGCCAAATCTGGTCGGATAATGGCACGAACTTCGTTGGTGCGGAAAAGGAATTACTTGCCTGCATCAAGAGCTGGAATGGCATGGCTCCGACCATTTTTGCACACAAAGGTCTTATTTGGAAATTTAACCCGCCAGGCGCACCCCATCATGGCGGCTCCTGGGAACGCCTCGTCCGAAGCGTGAAGCGCGTGCTGTACGATATCCTAGGCAGTAGGCGAGTCACTGAAGAGGTGTTAGGAACAACGCTCTGCTTAGTTGAACAGGCTTTGAATTCGAGGCCAATCACTCCCGTTAGTACCGATTCACGTGAGTGAGAAGCGTTAACCCTAAACCATTTTTTGCTTGGACAACATGCCACAAGCTTTCCTTCGCTTTTACCCGGGGAGCACTTCGATCACAAGAAAAGGTAAGTGCGAGCGCAGTCATATGCTAACGCGATTTGGTCTCGTTGGCTTCGAGAATATGTTCCCTCGCTGAATAAGCGTGTCAAGTGGTACACTCATTCTGACTTCACTCTTAAAACAGGCGCACTCGTGTGGGTGATTGAGCCCGATAGTCCGCGTGGGTACTACCCTCTTGCCCGAATCGTCAAGCTAAGCTACGGACAGAACGGTTGCGCTCGATCCGCCCTTGTTAAGACCGCAACCCGTGAAGTCACTCGGCCGACCGTTAAGCTCGCTACGGTTCTTCCTTCTTCAGGGGGGGAGGATGTTGCAATGCAAACGTAGAATATAAATTCATATAAAACCAAACACAAGCTTGAATATGATTGGACCAAAATGTAACAACCATAAGCACATTTGGCCAAGCGGACTAAGACAAAGTAAGCTAACGCCGATTATATGTGTGACATAACAGTTGACGTAGGTTCGAGTCCCCCACCTGCCCATGTATTAATACACTAAAAACGGGGGTTATATCCCATTTTAACTGTTTTTTGGTTCTAATTCGGTTCAACCTTGATTAAAGCTGACCGCCAAAAAGAGCAATTTGTCTCAAGGACATTACCGACCGGTTCTTGTGGCTAGCTTGCGCCAATTTGTTTATTGGAACTGAATATTGGTTAAAAATTATGAACTTGTTTAACAGCAAAAACTTGAATGAAAATTATCAATATATCCGATAAATTCTGTATTGCCGAGAATACGAATTCATTATTGATTTTTCGGTTTTAACTTCATTCTACGGAGATTTAGCTAGACTTGTGACTACTTAGCTTCTCCAAATCGATAAAATTGTTTTGAAAGTCAATACCACTCCTCCGCACTCAAATAAAACATGATAGGAAATAAAAAATTGAAGCTCATTGTTTTTCCAACTCGAAGAGCTGAATTAATTTTCGTCACCCTCAAGGCATTTATAATAGTTTTTATTTGCTGTTGTATGTTGCTGGTAAAATTAAACTTTCTAACTTTTCTATAATTATTTCCAGTTATTCATTTAATTTCTATAGAGGGCGCGAAATTTTGTACTATTTGCTCACTGACAGCTGTTTCATTTCTTTTTAAAATTAATTTTACCTGGCTTCCTCCATTGAGATTTGCAGGGGCTTCGGCCACTGTAGTATGTCTAACAGAAGGGTAATGGAGGTCACAATATGGCAGCTTGTTGTACCCCTTGTAAGTTTCCAAAGTGAGCACTATTTTGCAAGTTTCGCAAAAGAAACACGCCTTGTGCCAGCATTTGTCCAAGCAGCTTAATATCTCGCTCGCAGGAATACTCTTCTCGCATCTCACACATGGATAGTCCATAGTAGCAAACCGAGGGTCTTTTGAATTATTCTAAAAAGTGATGAAAAAATGGAAAAATTTGATTTTTTTTTTCTGAATATGTTTCAAATTCAACACCCCCCCCATCTATTCAGGCACCAGGCAATATACTCTGCGTCTGATATTGTATTGATCAGACCAAACTATTCGTTTATCTATAGTTTTACGAAAAAAGGAAAACAGGTCGCAGGTAAATATCTTTTTAGTTTTGTGCTCAAACTTTTAATAGTTTTCGGATGATATAGAAAAAATCTCACAAAAGTGGCTTGTTAAAAAGTCAAGAAATTATCTGAAGAAAGAACCATACCGACGGTATTAAATACTCGATAACTTTGTTTGAAGTTGATGATCCGACCGATTAGCTTGCACCGACTTCAATGGGATATTACTGTTTTTGTTTATTTGCCCGACGGCCGATTAGCTTGCCTGAGTTCAATTTGGAACTATTTGATAAGCCGCCACGCACAAATAACTCGCATTACGCCTTCAGCATCAAAAAAAATTCTCAATGCGTACAAAATAAGTTTAGAGCTTGGCCAAACTGGCAATTTTCAAACCCGCAGACCTTTAACAAAAAATAATTGGAAGCAAAATATCTTTTTACTTTTGAGCTCATGGAATCAATATCTTCAATGCGGTGTTAATTTTTCTGTTCGAAAATCTTTATTTTAATTGCTCAAAGTTAACCGAATGAAAAAAAAGCACCCCAAGTATAATTTATCCTTACTTTCTTCGAAATTTTTCACAAACAGGTTGCATGTGACATCTATCTAGAAATTTGAGCTCAAAGCCTTACTGGCTTTTAATTGATTTTTAAAACTTCGCAACAATGGCTACTTAGGAAGTCCACACCGATGGGCTGAGTTATACTAGGTAGACAACAGCGTATTCATACTCATCAGAGAGTAGACAAATTCAGAACTGATACTAGATAGCATACGTACGGGTTGACGTCCATAAAAGAAAAATGCTTCTCATACAATTTCATATATGGCGACTATGGAACAAATACGTATCATACAGTTTTCATACAATTTTAAAAACTAAATTAAACGTTTTTAGAGAAATATTTATGTTCTATTTCCATCTTTTGAATCTTTCTGCTCAGCAAAAACATGATTTCAATTTTGGTCAAAAAAATGCTTATCATAATAATTTCTTATATGAAAATTGTATGATAAGCTTTTTGCTATAGAAAAAATAAAATCCTCAAAATTAATTTAACGATGTTTCTGGATGAGTTTACTTGAGTTTAAAAAAATTTATTGAAAGAGTAATTTGACTCTCAAAAACATGGTTTTAGTTTTGGTCAAAAAATGCTTATCTTATAATTTTCATATAAAAAATTGTATGATAAGTATTTTTTCATTGGCAAAACACAAACTTGAGGTAATTTGAGGTATCCCGTTTTTGGTTGCAAACTTGCTTTTGTGCTCAAATATAAATTTTGCATGCAAAATTTGACTTTTTGTGTTTATAACATTTTAGTTTTGTGCTCAAATTTTTAATAGTTTTCGGATGATATAAAATTGCCAGTTTGGCCATGCTCTGAACTAATTTTGTAACATTGAGAATTTTTTTGATGCTGAAGGCGTATTGCGAGTTATTTGTGCGTGGCGGCTTATCAATTAGTTCCAAATTGAATTCAGGCAAGCTAATTGGGCGTTGGGCAAATAAACAAAAACAGTAATATCCCATTGAAGTCGGTGCAAGCTAATCGGTCGGATCAGCAACTTCAAACAAAGTTATCGAGTATTTAATACAGTCGGAATAGTTCTTTCTTCAGAAAATTTTTTGACTTTTTAACAAGCCAGTTTCGTGAGATTTTTTCTATGTCATCCGAAAACTATTAAAAATTTGAGCACATAACTAAAACGTAATAAACATAAAAAGTCAAATTTTGCATGCAAAAATTTATATTTGAGCACAAAAGCCAAACTTTTTCTGAACAGGATTATATTTTGTATTTCATTTGCTAAGATAAAAATAAATTTGTGAAAAAAAGGCCTTTTTTTCTCAACTACCAAAACTTTCAAACCAAAAATTATCTAGCCATATACAAAAAGTTACCTTTTTGGTATTTAGTTCCATGTGAAAATGTAAAAATTAACGTAAGTGGAAAAAATCACCAGATGCAGTTTATCTGCGTGGTAACTGCCAGTTACAATATGGGTTTTCTTATGACAAAAAGTCCAAGATTAGTGTTTCGGATGAAACACAAAATTTCAAACTAATGTTTTTAGGTATTTTCATTTGTAGAAAAAATGTTTGTCATACAATTTCAAACTATGGAAAAAATGTCTATCATAATATTTCATAATATGGAAAAAATGCTTGTCATGCTATTTTCATAGTATTTTTTTGGTCTATGAAATAGTATGATAAGCATTTTTTTCATAATTTGAAATAGTATGATAAGCATTTTTTGTCAACCCGGGCAATTACATTTACTTCGCAAGTTTACTGGTTCATCTATTTTCTTGAAATGCCATTTCTCTACTTACTGACAAGCATCAATACGCATCAATAAGCATCAATACGCGGTGATCTGCTTGCACACGCGGTGATCTGCGCGGTGATATGTTTTATAAAAACTAAAACCAAGCCATTGCCATTGCGAGGCCAAATTGGGCACTGGACAGGCGCACATTTTGATGTGTTTAGGTCTCTGGAATCCACAGACAAATATTTATTCATAGAAACACAAAATTAAGGAAAAACAAAACCAACCAAAGCTCTAAAAGAGCGGTACTCTTGTCACAAAATGGCCCAAAATCATTATTTCTGCATCTTCAACTGTAATTAAAATATTTGAATCTGATTTGTTTATAGGCCAATCAAATGCCAAAAACATGGTCCGGAATTTCAGTAAAAATTCCAAAGGGATGAAAAATTCTGGCCAAATTCACTAGCGTGCCGATGGGAGGAGGGCGGGAGGGGTGGGCAACCACAGCTTTTTTAATTTTGGTTGCCAATTTTTTTCAAAGGGTCACGCCTTTGGCATAACTTTATGACATCCATTTTTCGCTGAACAACCTCAAAAATTTTCTAAAGGCGCATTTGGCGCCAATAGCCAATATGAATAAGATTGAGGGGGAGCAAGCGCCAAAAAAACGCCATTTTTGGTCAAACTTTTCCAGAAGGTACCTAAAAACTAAAATTTATCTAATTTTTTTCTGTTGGAAATATGGTCTGAAATGCTGGACCGTTTTGCTTGAATTTGAAATTAGCCAAATAGTCAATCAGATTCAACCGCATTAAGTTTTGCTTAAGATGTAAAGATATTGAGGATGGCCGTTTTGTGCATAAGTCCCGAGTGCGGATGTGTTGCCAAGTCAGCTTATACTTAACAAAATAAACAGTTTGGCCTCGTAATAGCGCGAAAAAATTTGTCCAGCTTAAAATGTTGAACTTAACTTTCATTAATTAATAATTTTTACATTGTACATTAACATGATTCAATTTTGTTTTACCGAGTGACAAACAATTTTTAATTCAATAAAAGATAAGAAACAAAATTAAAAGTTATAACTCTCAATAAAAAGTTATCTGCAAAAGGATTAACCATGAGAAAAATGAAAAACGAAGCATAAACGTAGCTCAGATTACAACAACGTAGCTCAGATTACAACATGAATCAACTTGAAAGCTCTGCAAGTTACGTCATATAGTAACTTACAAATTTACGCTCTGCTCTGAGAGTTATCAGCTGAAAATTTGAGTAAATTACTTGAAAACATGGATTTTTTTTCCAATTTCTTCTAAGGGTTCTTTTATTTCTACAGTAAGAAACAACAAGCAAAACAGCTGATTGTTTTGACACCCCCAACGCGCGTCCTTCTATCTGGTTGAGGGATATGGTTCTCATTTTCGTTTTACTTAACTTTAACTTTAAACTCTAGAGTACATACACTTTTTCGTTCTTTGGCATTCTTTTTATCATTTTTTTGTGCCACAGAAAATCAGTAATCGGCATTTTTGGATGAAGAAGTCGCGATCTATAAGTTAAACGATTGGACTTTAAACTCAAGAGTACATACATTTTTTCGTTCTGTCGCATTCTTTTTATCAACTTTTTGTGCCACAGAAAATCAGTACTCGACGTTTTTGGCTGGAAGAGTCGCGATCTATAAGTTAAACGATTGGCGGCACTCCATCTATTTTAATACAAGCTAAAACTAATACAGAGACCAGGTCAACATTTAACTTAAACGCAGAGGATCTATAACTGGGCCATGTCTTTAATACCAGTCAAATTCTGTTAAAAGCAGGACATAGTCTAATCGATTGGCAAACCTGCACAGAAAAAATTGATTTCGAATCTAGTTAAATTTCTTTATATCGACTTCAAATCGATCCTGGGTTATTAAAAAAGCACATTCTAGTAACTGAAATGAATTTTAAATCGAATTTAATCTATCTCTCTTGAAAATTTTGGATCAATGGAATTGTCTAAACAATCGATTTATATCGATTTGGATGGATTTTTCCCATTAAAATCAAACCGAATGTTGACAGAAATCTTCTATTTATCTCCATTAAAAAATAACCCGGCAGATCTAAGATCTAAAAAATCGTTTTCAAAACAATTAAAGAAAAACAATCAAAACATTTAAAGAAAATGGTCGATAAAAATCAGATATTGAGCTCATAAGTTTCTATAAAATTTTAAAAAATAATCAAGGTTGGTTTTGAGCAATTACCTACATAACAGGCCCAGAAAATTATCAATATGTATATTTATTGTAAAAAAATTTATATTTAAATATATATATAAATATATTTATATAGATATGTATAAACATAGATCGGATTTTAAAACTGGAACCGGTTTAAGCTAGCTATTTAAATTTTATTTCTAAATACTTCACCGTAAAATCCTCATAACTAATCAATAATCTGTAAGTTAAACGATTGGCGGCACTATATCTTTCCAGATCTCCTTGGTAAATATTCACAATTGAACTACCAAATATACAGACCTATAACACAACAACATATTTGTAAAAGAAACGACCAAACAAGACATTATTTTTCAAATCATAACTAAGACTTTTTCCGAAAAAAAAATAAAATTAGTTATTCCTAGGAAAACAAGCCCAAACAAAAAACTCACAAATCCAAATCATAACTATTACCAACAGCAAACTAAAAACACGTTTTCACAACAAATCAGTTTTCACGACATAAAAACATTAAAGCAAATCATTCTGAAATTCATTCAATTTTTCATTAAAATGAATTTTTTGGGCAAAGAAGTCAAAACCATTACACGGAAGCTGAATTATTTTCGTTAAAAGCAACAATCAACACATGAATTCAAACACACGCATGATAAATGGACTGACCAGGAGCAACCACATAATTAAGCCAAACGTAGACACACAAAAAACTGAACAACGAAGACCAAAATTACCAGTAAAACCCATTCCCACAAATTAAAGCAAAGTATTTTAACACAAAATCCATTAGCTATTCAAAGTTACCCACGAGATGCGATGAAAATTGAAATATCATTGCCTTAATACACACAGCAACACAAAATCAGTAAGCGCCAGCCCGCAAATTTCACTTAAACACCAAAACAGCAGAATCTCTACAAATGACAATGAACCTATTCATTTTGGGTAAGCCATCAGTTACATCAAATAAGTATTTGAAGGTTTTCCCAAGAACAGATCCAAACACTCTGTTGAAAGTTACTTGAATGCAGTATCAGGAAACCTAATATTTTTTATTGACCCAGAACTTGCAACCACACTTCTTCATCAAAACTGAAAACATAAACGTACAGCATTAAAACAAACCACAAGCGACCGCGGAGCGGAAAAATGGTTTCAACTTTTACCAATAGAAATCAATTCCTATTGGAATTATTTTACAAAAGATTGTTTCGAAAAAATCCAATGCAGAAAGTACGAAACAACATCGAAGAGTTTTATGTAAGGAAATCGCAGATTACCAAACCAAACAAAAAACAACTAGCTTTAAAAGTAGAATCATGGGTAGGAAAAGCTTACTTTTTAATTACACTTGAGTACAAAACACAAAATTACGTAGGTTCAGTGATGACCATAAAAACGCAACTACGGAAAAGAGCCTCACAGAACGTCGGTAAAAGAGCATCACATCAGTTTGCAAAAAAGATATTGGCTGCACGAATATTGTAGACAGTTTGCAACAAGCTGAAATCGCAATGAAAACAGAGCGAACAGAATTTAATAAAAAAATTGTAAACAAAAACATCAAAAAAGTACGACACATGGGTTATAGAAAAAAAATCCTTAAAAACTTAAGGAGTAACAGTTTTTTTTCATTATGGCAATTAACAAATGGAGTTTGCATCAATCCTTCACCCTAACACTTATGCCAAAAAATTTTCACAGTGAAAAAATTTCGTTCATAGGCAAAAATACTCAAAAAAGTGGAATTTTAGAATCAGATACAAAAAAACTCAGATTGCAACAGATATCCAATAACAACGCATCAGACAAAAAATTCAGACGGAAGACATTTAGTTACTCCGAAGTGATATAATTCGTAAAAGAAGAAAATATACCTACAGTGAAAAACCAGTCCAAACAGGTTATTGGAATCAACCCATAAGACATATTGAACAATATACAATAACAGTAAAACCACTTCATAAAACTGATTCAAGAATAAGACGACGGTTATGTGGATGACTCTATGCTACCCTTTTGTCATACGCCAAGATAATGATCCATGACAAGGAAAATTAGATTTCTCATAATAAATTTGTTTTACAAACACTAAATCCATGCAAAAAATGATTTCTTGAAATGCAATTCAAAAGACAGATACTTGACCACTATTTACCCAACCCACGCAACATACGCTCACAATATGGGATATTCAAAATTAAAATTTCTTCACGAAAGTTAGTTGATAGTACTCCATCAAATAATCAAATTCGCAAACAGATGACATAGAAATAAGTGTTCCGAATATTTTCATAGAATACATCAAAAATGAACAACATAAAATTTTATAACGAGCGAACTCAGAGATTATAAATGAAGTTCTTGCAATTAATTCATTTTTCATCCTAAAATCAAATCAAACGTTTTATGCATAGCATCACCACCACAAACAACACAACATGCAAAAGTAAGAAAAGATATTTATTACTTTTCGAAAACTCTAGATACAATCCAAAAAAAAACCGTAACAGCATCATAATAAAACTTGATTTTCAGAGAACTTCAGCATGTTTCATAATTGATTGCTTTGTGAAACCATTTTAGCAGATCAATCACATTTTGTTTGGGAACTTGAATGGTATCACGATACATTTATTGATGTATCAAACATAATTTCAAGTTCAATCTTTCGAACAGTTTCACATCACGGTGATGATTCAAGAATCATCACATTAACGACAGATACATCACCATTAAATCAAAACAAAATTTTTCAAAGCAGAACAGATAATACCAGTTGAAACTCAACTTTTTTAGGTGCTAGAGATGATTAAAACGGCACATAATCACTAAATCATCAAAAATTTCAAATTTTATTAAAATTTACAAATGAAGAAATTGTTACAGCAAGGCCATTAAGAACACAACAAAGTTTTTCAGCGATACAGTTACAACACCACATACTAAACACACCTAGCTCCAACAATCGAATTTACAACCAACAGCTGAACCAATTCCTTTTGGTAAACATTCAAAAAATAGACATCTGATCAAAAAACGTATCTTGAATAAAAAAAACCGAGGAAGAAACCTTTTTTCAAACCATAACTAAGACTTCGCAATTTGTGATATCAATAATCCTTTAACAGATCAAGCTCAAACAACAGCTTCGCAATTCCTAGTTCATACTTTTTATCAACAACAACCTAAGAACACAAACCCACAATCACTCAGCTTTCACAAAAAAAATATTCAAGCAGATCAATCTGAAAGTTATCTATTTTTCCAACAAAAACAAACAATATGGATGAAATAATCAAAAAAAAATTCGCAGAACATAGGGAAAATCATATAGAATATTTTCATTAAAAAAACAACAAACACCACATAACTTAAAAAGATAGGAAAATCAGGGGTACATCCAAGAACAGCCAGATGTTTTCGAACCAAGTTTATATCTAAAAAAAACGAACAATGGAAAACTACAAACCCAGTAAAACCAAAATTTTTTGTCAAACTAAAACATATCAACAGAAAATCAAATTACTACTGAAATTTGTCAACCCAAAGCCGTGAAGAACAAAATACTATTACTATATCATTTACAACAACATCAAATCAGTAGGTAACAGCTTATTTCATCCATTTACAAAAAACTACAGAATCATTATAAATGAAAGTGAATCCATTCATTTTGGGCCATCATTAAAATTATCAAATAAATCCCTAATAGTTTTCCCGGAACATACCTGAATACTCTGTTGGAAGCTATCTTAACCCAATAACAGCAAATCTGAATATAGGCCCACAACCTGCAAACACACCTCTTCATCAAAACTGGATTCGTAATTGTCCAGCATTAGTACATACCACAATCGACGGCGCAGCTCGAATTGTTTTT